GACACCAATGAAGCAACAGCTGTAAGTTCAGGGATTTTAACGGCCCGTTCCCTAGCATCTTCCACGCAGCTAAAGAAACCAGGCTGTACACCTGCACTAAAAAGCAATTGCACTGTGCCAATTTCATGAGTGAAAACTTGTAAAAATGTTATGTGCTCAACTGTCTCCCAAATTCCTATGTTGGAGCTCTAACCATCAGTACCTTAGAATGGGACTGTATTTGGAGATGAGGTCTTGAAAGATGTAGTTATGTTAAAATGAGGCTGGTAGGGAAGGTCCTAATCCAACCTGGCTGGTGTCCTTATAAGAGGAGATTAGGACATACTGTGAGAGACACCAGGCATGTGCACACAATAGAGAAAAGGCCATGTGACGACACAGTAAGAAGGTGGCCATCTGCAGCCCAAGGAGAGACTAATCCTGCCAACACCTTGACCTCCAGACTGTGAGAAAAAGTTTGTTGTTGAAGCCTCCAGTACCTTCCTATGGCAGGACTAACAAATACAACAAATTACTTTGGCAATAGGCTTACGTAACTTTTTAGTCCTAAGATTTTTTTCTGCTTGTGCTTCATAGCTACCCCAAGGGTGGAGAGCTTTAGCACGAGGAGGAAAGCTGGCTCAAGCAGGCTAATTTTTCAAGTTTATATGGCCAAAACTCAATCACCAAAGAGGATTTAAAAATTATAGTGACCGACAGAGCCTCTTTCAATTGTTCTTACCGAATGAAACACACTAGCACTAAAGTGAACATGAAATACAGTTGCCCTGTACAAATATACTCAGGTATAACGGTGGTAAAAGACGACATCTGAGTTGCATCTTTTTTTTTTTTTTTTTAAATTTTTTTTTTTCAACGTTTATTTATTTTTGGGACAGAGAGAGACAGAGCATGAACGGGGGAGGGGCAGAGAGAGAGGGAGACACAGAATCGGAAACAGGCTCCAGGCTCTGAGCCATCAGCCCAGAGCCTGACGCGGGGCTCGAACTCACGGACCGCGAGATCGTGACCTGGCTGAAGTCGGACGCTTAACCGACTGCGCCACCCAGGCGCCCCTGAGTTGCATCTTTTAAATTTACTTGCAGGAAATATTTTACTCCGATAAAATGAATCTTAGATGTCACCAGCTTAAAGGTATGCAACTTCATTCACTGACCTGCTAAATGTAAAGGTGTTGAATGTCGGCCTTGGGTATCACGGCAATTTACGTTATCAGGAGAAGACAACTTCTTTACTCTGGCTAAACAACCCTTCTTGGCAGCATCTAACAAAGCTGCGTCTCCCCGAAGCAGATCTTGGATGTCTGTATCTCCATCTTTAACAAGATCCAAAGGAGTATTTCCATCCCTGTTTTTCTTTGTAGGGTCCGCACCATGCTGGGCATGTGAAAAATAGACAAAGGGGTACTAGCTTAAGTTTGCCCTTAGTCAAGAAGAAAATAGTCAATGTAACTATACCAAAAAAAACCTATCCTATTTTATATGGAGAGACTCTACCTTAAAGATGAACATGGTTGTTATATTTGATTTAGTACACAGAAAATTATAATAAAAAGAATACAGAGGCAGTTAAATATTATTGGGCTTTAATAATGCAATTAAATTATTACTATTATTATTTTATTTTTTAAGTAGGCTCCACATCCAACTTGGGGCTTGAACTCACAACCCTGGGATCAAGAGTCGCATGCTCTACCAACTGAGCCACCCAGGGACCCCTATAATGCAATTTAATAAAAATTTTACATTACGTTCAAAATAAGGTAGTATTTCATTAACTGACTTTCATGTATGCTATTTTTAATTTTCACGAACACTGACATAAAGTATAGATTTAATTTAGTCATATGCTCTACTGACTGAGCCAGCCAAGTGCTCTAACTTTTGTTTTTAGTGTAAAATATCTACACTGATACCTGTATTAAACCAGTACTATCACTTTTATTAGTGCCAAATAAATCTGGCTTATAAATTACACAATCCATCAAATGTCTTGAGGCTAAAGTACTATATAGGAAAAATTAAGACAATCATCAGAGAACTGTTACATGAAGATAGCTGACTTTATATAATAAACCTGTGTGTGGTAAACATCCTAGCAGATTAAGATCTACAAGTGTTCATGACATTTATTCTGAAACTGAGGTAGAGAATTAGCTGTTTCATACTCCTTTACAAGTTTAAGTTTATATTAAAAGTTATTAGAAATATAAACATATTCTATGTAATAAACCCAGTCCATAGTAAGTAAATATACCTGGAGTAGGAGTTTGCAAATTTCATACTTTCCTTTTGCTGCAGCTTCATGTAAAGGTGTAAATTTCCATAAATCAGCTACATTAACTACTGCTCCATGCTTAACAAGAAGTTCTGCAACTTCATAATGTCCATAAGAACATGCATTGTGCAAAGGTACAAGGCCTCTGAAATGAAAAATTACATAAGGAATGCAACACAAAGATATATATGTATTTAATTTTTATTAAAAAAATCTTTTAAAAAGCTTATTTATTTTAATATGAAGTTTATTGTCAATTTGGTTTCCATACAACACCCAGTGCTCATCCCAACAGGTGCCCTCCTCAATGCCCTGCCCATCGCCCACTTTCCCCTCCCTTCCACCCCCCATCAACCCTCAGTTTATTCTCAGTTTTGAAGAGTCTCTTATGGTTTGCCTTAAATGCTTATTTTTGAGAGAGTGAGCGAGAGGGAAAGCGAGCGCATGCACAAGCAGGGGAGGAGCAGAGAGAGAGGGAGACACAGAATCCAAAGCAGGCTCCGGGCTCCGAGCAGTCAGCACAGAGCCTGACACAGGGTTCGAACTTGTGAACCACAAGATCGAGATCATGACGTGAGCTAAAAGCAGACGCTCAACTGACTGAGCCACTCAGGCACTCCTATT